TATTGTAACTATTGCTATGACTACTAGTACTACGACTACGACTACTACTGCTACGACTGCGGCAACGACGACGATTTTTTTCCACGGTTGCTACCACGATTATTATTATTACGCCTACGTTTATCATGATTTGTATTACTACTACTTTCCCCCCGACGGTGACGATTGCCAGTTCGACTACTAGTACCGCTACTACTGCGACTACTCCGACCGCTAGTACACTACTACTATTACTATTATTGCTGCGACTACGACTACTACTGTTGCTATTTCTTCTACTATCATTATTAAGACTAGTACGGCTCCTACTACTACCACTTCTACTACTAGCATTATTATTACTACTACTACGCCCACTCCTGCTACTGTAACCACTACTACTACCACTACTACTACTACTACTACTACTACTACTACTACTACTACTACTACTGCTACAACTACTGCTACTACCAGTACGACTGCGACTACTACGACCCCTCGACTCCCTACTACTACTACAACTACTCCTACTACTACTACTACTACTACTACTACTACTACGACTACTACGACTACTACTACTACTACTACTACTACTACTACTGCTACTACTACTACTACTACTACTACTACTGCTACTGCTACTGCTACTACTACTACTACTACTACTACTACTGATACTACTACTACTACTACTACTACTACTACTAGTACCACTACTCTTATCACGTCTACTACTACTACTACTACTACCAATCCTTGTAATATTATTACTGCCACTACTTCTTCTTCTACGACCAACACCCTTCGACTACGGCTTATTATTTATATTACTACGACTGCTACTATTACTGCCTCTACTGCGAATGCGCCTCTACTGCGAATACGACGACTACTAGTACATGTACTACTATTGCCACTACTACTACTACTACTACTACTACTACTACTACTACTACTACGACTCGTTCTGCCAATGACTATTGCTACGACGACTACTTCTTAATACGACTACTACCACCACGGCTACGAGTACGATTACTCCGAATTCTACCGCCACGACTCGCATTCCTTTCACTAGTATTACTACTACTACTACTACTACTACTACTACTACTACTACTATTCCTACTACTACTACTACTACTACTACTACTACTACTACTACTACTACTAATACTACTACTACTAGTACTACTAGAACTACTACTACGACCACTACTACTACTACTACTACTACTACTACTACTACTACTACTACGACTACTACTACTACTACTGCAACTACGGCTCCTATTACTACCACGACTACTACTACTACTACTTCTCCTACCACTACTACTACTACTACTACTACTACGAATGCTACTACTATTACTACTACTACTACTACTACTACTACTACTACTACTACGACTACTACTACTACTGCTACTACCGCGAAGACTACGAACACCTCTGCTTCGACCACCACCACTATTTCTACTACTACTACTACTACTACTACTATTACTACTACTACTACTACTACTACTTCTACTACTACTACTACTACTACTACTACTACTACTACTACTACGACTACTGCTACTGCTACTGCTACTGCTACTGCTACTACTACTGCTACTGCTACTGCTACTGCTACTACTACTACTACTACTACTACTACTACTATCAGTTTTTTCCAGTCGTAAGACGATAAATGGGTAGTCGTAACAGGGTCTTCCATTAGTAAGGTATAAAGGGTAGTCGTAGAAGCGGGTACTTATATTCCGCTTCATGATTCTCCCATTCCCCCTTCTTCTCCCCTCTTTTTACCTCGACGACACCTTTGGACCTTTCGAGACCCGTTGCAATCGGCTGCGCCCCCCCCCCACAAGCCTCAGCGTCCCTTCTCTCTCCATGTATCTCCTCCGCTTCCTCCTCCTCTGCTTTCTCCTCCTCCTCCTACTCCACCCCCTTTTCTTCGGAACATCTCCTCGCTGCCGCACTCCGAAGGCAGTCGTAAGGGCGCGCCAGGCGTTTCGCTTGAGACTCCGGTGCCATCTTTTTGTTAAAACTAAGAGGTGCCAGCAATGTTGCAGATGGAGAGCGGGTGGTGTTCAAAATGTGGCCCTCGCCTTAGCGTCGCGCGCATTCGTTTTATCAAGCACAACAGCTCCACGGATTGTGAGCGGGTAGTTTTCAAAATGTGGTTTTCGCCTCCTGCGCTGCGCGCACTCGTTTAAACCATGTAAGGACTTCATGTGTTGATGGCGTGTCGTTTTCAAAAGGTGGATCTCGCTATTGCGCCGCGCATATTGGGTTTAAACATTTGTATGATTTTCACGAATTTAGGGTGGACCATTTTTTCACATTGTGGTTCTCGCTCCACTGTCGCGCACATTCGTTATAAAAAACTTTAGATGCACGGGTTGAGGGCGGATCCTTTACAACTTGTGGTTTTCTCTTTGGCCCGACGCGACATTCTTTTCAAACATTTGCAAGAGTTCTTTTGGTTCTCATTGTTCAACTACTAGAAATGGTGTTTGAGAAGGATGCAGGGCTGTCAGGGCGCAACAGTTACATTGATCCGCGGCGTTGAAGTCCCAATAATGCCTTTTCTGCTACAACTCGGGATCGCCAAGGCGTAACAGTCAGGTTGATTCGTGGCGTTGACGTCCTGGAAATTGGGGTCTCGCACGCTTTACGATCTTCACACTGTTCCCCCGCACGGGATACTTCCTTCAATGGAAATGAACTGTTGTAGTGGCCTATGAAGAGGGAGTGTGGGAGGGGGGTGAATTCCAACATCGTTGATGGGTCTTTGGTTTACAGTGGTCCTCCTCTGAACGACCGTCGACGTATTGCCGTCCTTGTCGGTTGCGGTCGCAGTTGCGGCCGTCGTCGTTGACCCTCGTCGATTCTGGACACTCTCCTTTTCCCGCCCTCCTCCTTCGTTCTCCTAATTATTTTTTTCTCCTTTTATCCCCTTTTCGCTTTCGCCCCGACCCAGCCAGCCCGACCCGACGCGTTCGAAGCGCCAACTAGTGTGGACGCGGGCCAAGGTCGATGACGCATCATCGGACTCACCCATTGAGGTGCGCACGCCAGCTCGAGGATGGATAACACTCCAGCGGCTCGTCCGCCCGACCTTGCCCGCTTGTTAGGGCTCGCCCGCATGATCCGACCCGTCCTGGCGTGTCCCGACATACTACCACGTTAGGGCTCGCGTGTGTAAATTCGATGCGGCATCATACTTCCATGATCTGCCCGCTCGTCTGGAACAACGGGGGGGGCAACCTTGTCAACGCTGGCCTGGCTCCCCCAGCTCTGCATGGACCCGCTTGCGCGTCGCGAGTCCAATGTCAACGTGATGCCGTCGTCGTCGTCGTCGTCGCGCTTGGCAACTTGCGTCTGGAGCAATTGGAGGGGCAACTTGGTCAACGTCGGGTTGGCTCTCCCAGCGGTGCTTCGACCCTTTCGCGCGTCGCGAGCCCGACGTCAACGTAATGCAAGCCAGGTGAGACGAACCCAGGACGTTTTGGGACGCCCCCACTTCATCCTTTTCACCCCTCTTTCGCTCGCGCACGCAGTCATTGTCGGTCGTCGGCGTCGTCGCGCTGGGCAAGTCTTGTTCGGAAGAGGGGGAGCAACTTGGTGAACGCAGTGACGTCCATGCCCTTTCATCCTTCTCCTTCTTTCTTACCCCCTTGGCCCTTTCATTCCCTCCATCATTTTTTCCCACCACATCTTGCTCAATTCTGCCCCGGACGGATGGCCGATAAGACAGCATTTGCGTTGTCTTGCGCGAGCGTGGCCGAGGCGGAAGGCATCTCCCGTTACCTCTAGCCGTGCGGCTTCCGCTCGCCTGGGGGCCCGAGTCATGGGCCATGGCCCGATTATTTCGACGACGTCCGTCGGACAGAACGCCCATTAACTTTTTCTTGCTCTTTCGGCTGAGGGTCCGAGTCTGGGGCAGGCGCCCTCCTCATGCTATCAGTGGCAAGCCAGGGCGGGAACACCGAGAGGTGCGAGCTGCGAGGGGCACGTTCCCCCTCGAGAGGGCGGGCGTGCCACTCGCGAGCGACGCCTTCGGCCCAAGTCAGGCGCACGGAGGAGCAGAGGAGTAGCGACCTCTATCGATCCGCCCTTCGCCCTCTGACTTCGACCGCATACTTACGCAACAGTCCTGGACAACCAATTGAGTCGAAGAACCGTCTTCTGCCAGTCTTTAAGGATGACACCTCCAAGAGTCTTTGATAGCATGTCTCCAGAGAAACAAAAACCCAATATGTGAACGGTTTGAAATGGGGTCGATCAAGAGATCGGCAAGGAGATCGACCGGGAACGCGGGATTCCGGAACCCACCGAAATCGGACCGGAACTAATGACCAGGAACCCGGGAACCCGGAACTGGGAATCCGGGAACCCAGCCGGCCACCAAAATCGGCTACACATTTTCGCCAAATTTTTCAATCTTTGCCAGGGCCCCTTCAGCGCAAGCCTTGATTGGGAAAGATCACTCCTGCAGGGGAGGCTGCTGCTGGCAGTGGGTTTTGGTAAACTGCAGCTACCCACCAGGCGCTTTGACGGTTGCCTCATGCGCGGAGAGCGCTTAGCACCGAGGCCACATCCCACCTTAGCAGAGTGGTGGGCCGCGCATAACAGCAAAAATCGTCCACGTCTTGAGTCAGTTACTGCACCTCATTCCAGGCGCTTTGACGGTTGCCTCATGCTCAATGATGGTTTCGGTCATACCTGAAGGGGTTCCCCTGCCACGGTGCAGCGGCCCCCCCCCCAGGGTAGGGGGCGGCGCGCACCAGGCAGCCCCCGAGAGCCAGCAGCAACGGGGGCCTGCATCACTATGTTTACCCAGGGGCCCTGTTTTCTGTAGGCGTCGTGACTCAGGACCCCAAGGGCCTTATCCTTCTCCTCCTCCTCCTCCTTCTCCTCTTGACCAGAAGCACGCCTCTTCAGTTGTGACCCGGGGGAGCGCCTTTTGACGCGGAGCGATGCGCTGCCCCGCGAATTGCCAGGCGCCAGCCCGGCCGCCTCGGCGATCTCCGAGACCAGCAACCCCCTTGTCCCAGCGGGGCCGGGCGATGGCATCAGGACGACCGGCTCCAGCAAGGACTTGGGCGCTGCTTCACAAATAGAAGGACGATAGATGTCAAGCAGTGGCGAAGCGTCTTGGCTCGCCTATAGGCCCACCAAAGACTGTTCTGAGAACCTTTTGTGGTCTGCACGAAATGTTCTTAGAACACTTCTGGCTGGAACTGTCTTGTTTAGCACATCGGGTTTAAGAACATTGTTTTTGTTCTGAGAGCATGTTGGGTTCTAAGAAAATTTCGTGGTAGGCCTATAGGAATGCCAGGACGGTCGATCAATGCTCAAAGGTGGAGGGTTTCTCCGAAGGGTTTAGGCGACCCGTCTTCCTCCTCTTTCCTCCCCCTCCTTCTCCCCCTCCTCCTCCCCATCCCCCTCCTCCTCCCCCTCCCCCTCCTCCTCCTCCTTCTCCTCCCCCTCCTCCTCCCCCCTCCTCCTCCTCCTCCTCCTCCTCCTCGTCCTCCTCCCCTTCTCCCTCCTCCTCCTCCTCCTGCCCCTCCTCCTCCTCCTCCTCCTCCTCCTCCTCCTCCTCCTCCTCCTCCTCCTCCTCCCCTCCTCGATTCGCCTACGGCCCCGGGGGAAACCGTCCAAAAGAGGGAACTGAACAATGACATAACCAGAACAAATCTGAGGTCCGCGCGGATTTTTCGTATCCGCTCTGGACCCCCCTCGCGGAGCCTCCGGCGCCGCCCCCTGCGAGCTCCGCGCACCAGGTAGAGGGGTCCAGCGCCGATCCGAGACATCCGTGCGGACCTCAGAGTTTTTATATTTATGTCTTCCCGCGATGCGTCCCCGCAGCACGTCCCTTGGCACGTCGCCTGGCGCGTCCATTGGGACGTTTCGCGGCGCGTCCTCCTGGCATGTTCCCTTGTCAATTAGCTTTGGGGCAGCTATAATGCCCTGAGGCAGCTCGAGCTTAACACTTCGATCCGTTCGGTCAGGACTCGGATGCAAAGGAGGACTCGATCCACAACGCTATAGAGCACAATCGCGGCATGGCACATCGCAGGTCAGCACGGCGCAGCACAGCACAGCCCTCGGCACGGTACATCAAGATCGATACATTCAGCATTGCAATTTGGCATGTTCTTTGGCACGTTCCGTGGCGCGTCCCGTGGCGAGTCCCCCTGACACGTCGCGCGGCGCGTCCCTTGGCACGTCCCGTGGCACGTCCGTTGGCACATTCCGTAGCGCGTCCCCTCGGCACGTCCCGCGGTGCGACCCCGTGGCACGTCCCTTGGCACGTCGCTTGGCGCGTCCCTTGGGACGTTCCGCGGCGCGTCCTCCTGGCATGTTCCCTTGTCAATTAGCTTTGGGGCATCTACTATGTGCTGAGGCAGCTCGAGTTGAAGATCCAGATCAGTTCGGTCAGGAATCGGATGCAAAGGAGGACTCGATCCACAACGCTACATAGCGCAATCGCGGCATGGCACATCGCAGTTCAGCACGGGGCAGAACGGCACAATTTTCGGCACGGTACACCAATATCGATATATTCAGCATTGCAATTTGGCACGATCCTTGGCACGTTCCGTGGCGCGTCCCGTGGCACGTCTGTTGGCACGTTCCGTAGCGCGTTCGGCACGTCCCGCGGTGCGTCCCCGTGGCACGTCCCTTTGCATGTCGCTTGGCGCGTATGTTCCTTTGCCAATTAGCTCTGGGGCAGCTACTATGTGCTGAGGCAGCTCGGGCTGAAGATCCAGATCAGTTCGGTCAGGACTCGGATGCAAAGGAGGACTTGATCCACAACGCTATAGCGCATAATCGCGGCATGGCACATCGCAGGTCAGCACGGCGCAGCACAGCACAGCCCTCGGCACGGTACATCAGTATCGATACATTCAGCATTGCGTTTGTTTGTCGCCCAATCAGGTGTCTTTGAAACGTTGCCATGCCTTACATTTCTATTTTCTTTTCCGTGTTCGTGGGCCGATATGTTTTTACATGTCCAGGCCACCCAGGGGGATATCTAACATGGTTGCCCCGAGCTTGAACCACGTGTTTTTACGCGTCCAGGCCACCCAGGGGGTATGTACCATGATTGTTCTGAGCAGGGACCACGTGTTTTAACGTGTCCAGGCTAGTCAGGGGTGTATTTAACATGGTTTACCAAGTTAGCACCATATGTGTGTAGATGTCCATGCCTTCCAGGGGGGTATATATCATGGTTGTCCCGAGCAAGGACCGCGTATTTTAACGTGCCGTAGTACGCCCCCTCGGCACGCCCCGCGGTGCGTCCCCGTGGCACGTCCCCTGGCACGTCGCTTGGCGCGTCCCTTGGGACGTTCTGCGGCGCGTCCTCCTGGCATGTTCCCTTATCAATTAGCTCTGGGGGCAGCTACTTTGTGCTGAGGCAGCTCGAGCTTAAGATCCAGATCAGTTCGGTCAGGACTCGGATGCAAAAGCGGACTCGATCCACAAAGCTATAGAGCACAATCGCGGCATGGCAAATCGCAGTTCAGCACGGCGCAGCACAGCACAGCCCTCGGCACGGTACATCAAGATCGGTACACTCAGCATTGCAATTTGGCTCGTTCATTGGCACGTTTCGTGGCGCGTCCCGTGGCGAGTCCCCCTGACACGTCGCGCGGCGCGTCCCCTGGCGCGTCCCGTGGCACGTCCATTGGCACATTCCGTAGCGCGTCCCCTCGGCACGTCCCGCGGTGCGACCCCGTGGCACGTATCCTGGCGCGTCCCTTGGGACGTTCCGCGGCGCGTCCTCCTGGCATGTTCCCCTGTCAATTAGCTCTGGGGCAGCTACTATGTGCTGAGTGAAGATCCAGATCAGTTCGGTCAGGACTCGGATGCAAAGGAGGAGGACTTGATCCACAACGCTATAGAGCACAATCGCGACATGGCACATCGCAGCTCAGCACGGCGCTGCACAGCACAGCCCTCGGCACGGTACATCAGTATCGATACACTCAGCATTGTTTTTGCCGTCGCCCCAGTAGGTGTCTTTGAAACGTTGCCATGCCTAACATTTCTATATATTCATTTCCAGGTTCGTGGGTCGATTATGTTTGTTGCGTTCTATGTTTTGTGCATTGCATTGTTTCCCGCAAAGGGCGTCGGCCCAGGGTTCTCTTTTACAGGTTTACCCCTGGACCCGACGGCTCCAGTGCCGGCGAAGTTATTCAGTGATCAATAATGGGGTCAAGTGTGTTCGTTCAGTTGAACAAGTGCGTTTGCCCCCCATCTCGGATCCTCGATAGATAATGGGGTCCGCAGACAACCGTTTTCTTTTGTGGAAAAAGAGGGGCGCGTTTTGCGCGGAATCCAAAAGAAATGACGAGGTCTGGAGCCCCGACCGCGACGCGGAAAAGCGTCCCGCGCGCAGGAATTTCTAGGATGTCTCGCGCGTGCCGCGTCCCGCGCGCAGGAATTCCGAGAATGCCTCGACTAGTTCATTGTTTTGTTGCAGGAATTTCGCTAGAAGATCCTAGGAGGTATCTGACATGGTTGTCCTGAGCTGGAACCACGTGTTTTCACGTGTCCAGGCCACCCAGGTGGGTATCTAACATGGTGGTCCCTAGCTGGAACCACGTGTGTTCACGTGTCCAGGCCGTACAGAAAGGGAGTATCTAACATAGTGGTCCTGAGTTGGAACCATGTGTTTTTTTTACCTTCCCAGGCCACACATGGGGCATATCTAACATGGTAGCCCCTCGCTGGAACCACGTGGTTTCACGTGTCCACGGCACCCAGGGGGGCTATCTAACATGGTGGTCCCGAGCTGGAACCATGTTTCACGTGCTCGGGGCACCCATGTAGGTATCTAACATGGTGGCCTCGCGTTAGTACTACGTGTTTTCACGTGTCCAGGCCACACAGAAGTGGGGTATCCAATACAGTGGTCCCGCGCTGGAACCACGTGTTTTCACGTGCCCAGGTCGCCCAGGGGGGGTATCTTACCTGGTGGTCCCGAGCTGGAGCCACGTGTTTTCACTTGTCCAAGCCACAGGGGGTATCTGACATGTTGTGCCCGAGCTGTAATCGCGTCGCTTCACGTGTCCAGGGCACCCAGGTGGGTATCTAACATGGTGGTCCCGAGCTGGTATTATATGCGGCTTCACGTCCAGGCTACACAGGTTGGTATCTAACATGGTGGTCCCGTGTTGGGGCTTCGTGTCATCACGTGTACAGCCACCCAGGTGGGTAGCCAACATGTTTGCCCCGAGCTGGAACCATGTGTTTCACATGTCCAGGCCACCCATGGGGTGCCTAAGATGGTGGTCCCGCTCTGGAACCACGTGTTTTTACCTAACAGCGAAAACTGATAGGCTTCTAGTAGTGTCAAAAGAGAGCATCATGACTCCCAGGGGGGTCTGGGCGGGATCCGGACGGGATCCGGGGGAATCCGGGGACTCTTTTTTTAGCCAACAGTAACGCATTTCGTGGTCTTCGAGTTCCCAGAACTCCATTCCTGGGCATGATTTTGAATGCCCGGAGCCAACTGTAGGCCACTCCGTGCTCTTCGATTTCCCAGAACTCCATTCCTGGGCATGATTTTGAATGCTCGGAGCCAACTGTAGGCCATTTCGTGGTCTTCGAGTTCCCAGACCTCCATTCCTGGGCATGATTTTGAATGCCCGGAGCCAACTGTAGGCCACTTCGTGTTCTTCGAGGTCCCAGAATTCCATTCCTGGGCATGATTTTGAATGCCCGGAGCCAACTGTAGGCCACTTCGTGTTCTTCGAGTTCTCAGAACTCCATTGCCGGGCCACATTTTGAATGCTGAGGCAGGCTGATGCTGAGGCTGAGGCAGGATGAGGCTGGGGTCTTCAGGGGCCGCGGTAGCGGCCGCTCTCGCGGCCCTCGGAGCAACTGCTGTCGCTGTGCTCGGAGTGGCAGCGGTGGCGCTCAGGCGCTGGGGCGCGGCCCAAGCGCCGGCCGACGCGGGCGAGGGTCCGGATGAAGAGCTCCTGCCGGAGAAAGCCCCAGGGTCAAGTTCAACCGCGGAACGCTGACACGCCCGTGTTAGTTTGACGAAAGCGGCCCAAAGCGGCCCAGTTTCAAAGCAGGTTCAGAGGGGCTCGATCCATCACGGACCCCCTAGATTGTGAGCCAGAGTATCGCATCGCACTGTTCCTGTAGCACCTCTCTCTCTTCCCCTCCATTCCTTTTGCTTCTTGTGCTTCTCCGCTTCTCTTCTTCGCTTTTGCCTCCCATCGGGTGGGTTTTCCTGCTTTCCTCCCTCCCCCCCTCCCTCTCCTCGCCCTTCCCCTCGCCGTTCTCCCTGCCCGCCCTCTCGCTCAAGTTGCGCAGCTCCCCCTTCGCACCTCGTTGGAAACAGTGGCCACAGCGATAGTTCCCGAAGCACTGTGCAGTGTTGCGTTTTTTTTTGCATGCCGGCCCGTAACGGCACGTATGTGGTCAGCGTTTCCGCTTTGCTCGTGGTCTCCAACCCCTTGACCATTATGTTTCTGTGAGGTAGCTGCTCTACATGGTTTCCAGGATCCGAGCGAAGCGATGTTCTGGCGCCGCCTGGACCGCAGAAAGGAGACCAACTTTCTGCATGCCGACGGGAACCTGGGGCTCCCCTTCACATTAACTTGAGCTTGAAGCTCCGCGAGTAAGCTTCGCTCCTTTTTCTATATCTTACTCTTGCTTGAGCTTGAAGTTCTGCGAGGAAGCTTCGCTCCATGTTCTATGCCTTACTCTTGCTTGCGCTTGGAGTTTCGCTGGACTCGACGAAGCTTCGAAGTTCGGCTGAGCGCAAGGAAGGTTCGCTTCACTTTCTATTATCACAACGCTTAAGCTTGAAGTGAAGTTTGGCTGGACGCCAGGAATCTACGCTATATAGCTAGAGTGGGGGGGGTGCCGAGGCGAGGTTCTCATTGGTCCCGAAGTTTCTTACCAACGCCTCCAGTGTTAGGTTCCTGTTCTCGCATGTGTATATATATATATGTATAAGTAAAAATGCATATGGGGAGCAAGAGGGCCCCAAGAGAGGCCCAAGAGGGGTAACATGAGCCGACAATTCGAGCCTTCTGCCCCAGTAGGCCTCCAGGAGGCCCCAAGAGGCCCCCAAGAGAGCCCAAGAGGCCCCCTAGAGCCCCCCTAGAGGCTTCACGAGGCCCCCCAAAACACGCCCCACGAGCATCCGTAGCGATTTTGGCTCAAGGTGACTCTGACTGCAGCGCGCAAGCTCTCATCATAGTTGCCCATCACCATGCGGACCCCGCGACCAGGCCCCTGGGGCCCGAGGCTGCCCACTTTTTCAAAACTCGCCCCTCCCCCGCGGTGCCCACTGTGTCCCTCGGGGTCCTTCGGGGGGCTTCTCGGAGGGCCCGAAGGCGCTCCCCAGACGGTCCAGGAGGCTTCCGAGACGGTCCAAGATTGCGCCAAGATGCCCAAGATGGCTTCAAGGCGGCCCGAGAGGCTCCCCAAGCGCTTTAAGAGGGCTCCAAGAGGACACGTATGAGGACCGCAAGGAACACACATCGCCCTAATTCCTCGAATTCCTCGGGGAAGCGTTTTTTTGGCATATGCGCTTGTGATTAATAGCGTCCACGACGGCCTCGGAGAACCCCAAGAGCGCCGCAAGACATCCCAACAAGGCCTTCAAGACGGCCCAAGAAGCTCCCAGGATCGCCCCAAGACGTCCCACAGAGCCCTCCAAGACGACCTCCGTAGGATCCTGTGGATCCCAGAGCGCTCTGAGAAAGTCCAAGAGGCTCACAAGACACCTCACTCCGCACCCCTCCCCGCTCCTCCCAGATCGTTCTCATTCCTCCCCATCCCTCCTCGCTCCAGGTAGGTATGCGCGAGGCGGTTGCGTCTCTGGCCGCGAGATCCTGCCAGTGCAGACCTACATGTACGACCAGCCTTCGGGTGATAAGGAGGATGTGTGTGATGGTGCGGGGAGGAAGGGGGACCAACTGGAGCTACAACATAGCATTGCATCGCATAGCAGAGCACGGCATAGCATCGCATAGCATCGCACAGCACAGCATAGACGAGCATCGCGTAGCATAACATAGCATCGCATAGCATGTCATCGCATCGCATATAATAGCATATCATCGCATGGCACAGTATGGCGTAGCATAGCATAGCATAGCATCCCATCGCACAGCATAGTATCGCATCGCATCACACCGCATAACTTAGATCGCATTGATAACACAGCGTAGCATTGTACAGCATGGCATAGCACAGCACAGCACAGCATCGCATAGCACCAGACACGACGGGACACCGCGGGACACCCCCAGGCCACCGCCGGCCAATCGGGAGGGACACCACGGGACACCGCGGGACACTCCCGGTCCACTGTTGGCCAACCAGGGGCACAGCAAAATTTGGCCCAGTTTTGCCGTAAGCACAGATGGCTATTTCCTTTCGCCTTCTGACGCAGCTTCGCCGCGCCCACACGCGCGACACGAACACGAAACCGAAAACGATTTCCTGGCGGGGGGGCTCCTGTTCACTTCGATCTCTTTCCCAACCTCGGATTCTGTCACACCACGGGACACCGCGGGACACCCCTGGGCAACCACTGGCCAACTGCGGGGCGCAGCAAAAATGAAAGGCTGCCGCCTTTGCCGCCGACCCCATCATGGGATGACACATATACATGTCTACATATTCGAAAGAGCCTGTTCTACCGCTGCTGGCGGAAAAACGGGGGGGGTGCACTGGGGGTCCCTAGCCCGTGCCCCCCCCTCCTCGAAACTGGGGGGGGTCACTACTGGTTCAAACTCCTCCCCCACCCCGTCCATCATGAAAGGGGGGGGGGTCACTACTGGTTCGAACACTCCCCCCTCGAAAACCGGGGGGGAGGGTCACTACGGGTTCGAACCCCCCGCCCCCCCCTTGAAAACCGGGGGGGGGTCACTACCAGTTCGACCCCCCCCCCCTCGCCGCCGGCAAACGATTTCCGCTCCTCGGGACAGTTGGACAATGGTGGGGATGCTGGGACAGTGGTGGGAACGGTGGTGGTGGGGACAGTGGTGCTGGGATAGTGGGACAGTGGTGCGGACAGTGGTGGGGACGGTGGTGGTGGGGACAGTGGTGAGGGGACAGCGGGACAGTGTTGGGGACAGTGGGACAGTGGTGGGGACGGTAGTGGTGGGGACAGTGGTGAAGGCGGCGGTGAGGACAGTGTGGGACAGTAGTACAGTGGGGAAAGTGGTGGGGGCAGTGGGGACAGTGGGACAGTGATGGGGACAGTGGGGACGTTGGGACAGCACGGTTGGACAGCGGCGGGGACAGTGGGAAAGTAGTGGGTACAGTGGGGACAGTGGGACAGTGGTGGGGACCATGGGGAAAGTGGGGAGTGGGACCGTGGTGGGACAACGGTGGGGAGAGTGGGGACAGTGAGACACTGGTGGGGGCACTGCTGGGGACAGCGGGGACAATGGTGGGAACAGTTGGGACAGTGGGACAGTGGTGGGGACTGTGGTGGTGGGGACAGTGGTGTGGGGACAGTGGGAACGTGGTGGAAACAGTGGGACAGTGGAGGGTACAGTGGTGGTGGAGACAGTGGTGAGGGCGGTGGCGAGGACGGCGGTGGGATAATGGGACAGAGGTACGGTAGGGACAGTGGTGGGGACATTGGGGGCAGTGATGGAAACAGTGGGACAGCTCAGTGGGACAGCGGCGGGGACAGTGGGACAGCGGGAACAGTGGGACAGTGGTTGGGGCCGTGGAGAAAGTGGGGGGACTGGAACCGTGGTCTGAACAGTGGTGGGGACAGTGGGGTCAGTGCGACGGTGGTGGGGCCACTGGTGGGGACAGTGGGGTCCGTGGGCCCCCGACCATGAACGAAAGGTGTACCTTTTCTCCCCCCACCCGTTGATCGTGCGGCATTGCCGTGGAGGCCCGTGCCAAGAAACACCCTGCTTGTCTCCAGGGTGCCCTGGGTTTCTTGGGTTTCGATGGTTCTGCTACGGAAAGCGTGACGTTCCCGCACCAAGGGTCAGCGGACGTCCTGTGGTTTCAGGTTGGGGTTTCTTGTTGAAGGTCTTTTGCGGTCGGGCCCCTCCTGCAAGCAGTCCCGAAGGACGTCCTCAAGCCCAGCGTCTTTTTCGAGCAGTACATCTCTTGTGGCGGCACGCCATTCCGCCGTCCCCGTCGTCGCCTCCTCGCGCTCGTGCCTACGGCCAGGCGGGCTCAAGCGGCGCGAGCGAGTGGCAGGGAGAGGTGTTCGGGCACGGTCGTTGCTCCTCTGCGGTCTTCTAGCCTTAAGTCGGGCGTGTCCCTCTATTGGAGGAGTATTCAAAAATAGTCAAAAAATAGTCAGGGGACGTTGCGTTGAATATTGTTGAGCATTTGTTTTGACTATTCTTGATTATTCGCCCAAGGTCTGCCTGTAGGAGTACATGCCCGACCTGATTTTAGCCTCGGGATGTCTTCCAGCAGCTGCGTTTCCCAGAGTATTCGAGGGTACCTGAATCGTCGCGAACAGTTGTCGGAAAGCTCGGGCACGGCAAGCCCAATGCACTTCGAGCAGTGTTTGGCGAGTTTTTCAAGGCGTGCGAGAAAATACCCCGACCCTCTATCTCTATCATCGGCGTTTGCTGAATAGGCTTATGCGTTTACGTACCCTGACCGATTGTTTCGTAGGCATGCTTGCTAAACGGCTTCGCCTGTCGGACTGTTATGAGGGTAGTTATTTAATCGCTTCGCTCATTCCGCCGCCCCTGGAGCGCTATTTGGGGCCTCTTGGGGCCGTCTTGGGGGCTCCTGGGGGGCTTCTTGGGAGCGTCTTGGGGCTCCTTGGCGTCGTATTGGGCTCCCCTGGGGCCTCTTGGAGGGCTCTTGGGGGCCCCTTGGGGCAGGAGGGGGGGTAGTCGTTGGCAGCCCCCCCTTCGGAGGCCACGATCCACGTGAGTGGTGGCGAAAAATAGCCCCCCCCTGGGGATCGCCCGGGGGTCAGCCAGGGATCGGCCGGGGTACTTTTCGTCCGGGGCCCCTCAGGGGCCGCCCCGCGCGCGCGAACTAGAAATATTGTGAAGTAGTTACCCGAGATCTTAGCACGCCTCTGGTCCGTTGGGCCGGCAAATTTCTGCCTTCTATGCCGCTGCCAGCAGCATCGTTCGACCGATGCCCATCTCTACGACACTGGGCCACAGCATCTCAGCCCCACCGGCTCACCCCCAAGTGCGGATAGGCAACGCGAGACCCGCAGGGAGCAGCATACATTCC